GACATTGTGGATCATCCGAACTAGTATGACCTGCCCATGTTTTTCCTTCTGAAATAACAATGGATTCAGGATCTTCAGAGCGAAAAGACATCGAATTGAAGCACAGCTTATTCAGTCTTGCTGGATTGTTTTCTGTTGTGTTGCTTTTTTATTTTCAAACCACATTCAGTATCCATTGTTACAGTGTATGGAATGTAAAATTTTCTGTTGGGTTTAACATAGAAACAAGAAATGGTTAAATCAGGAAATAAAAAAAAATTTAACCTCTTTAAAAAAAATACTAAGTAAAATAGATTTAAAAGATTTAAAAAAACCTGTACATAAAAATAGATTAACAGTATCTGTGATTTGAACTTAAATAGAACTATAACCTAGTTAAATAAATAACATCCTTTAATACCTAACAGGTTTAAATTTCAAAACAGCGATTAAATAAAATATTCTGAAAGAAACAGAGAAACTATTTTGGATTGAATTTTGTGTTAATTGTATGTCAACTGCAATATTATTGTTTATTTTCTTTTAACAAACAATAAACCAGCAGTTTAAATTTATTTTCTGGTCTGTGCTCATTAATGCACTTACACTTTTCACCACTCCTGTAGCTGAAACTAGCACTGGTCTTACTGTGAGTTCTAGTAACTGTAATAACATCGTAAGTGTTACATCTGTTTCTATCAAACAATTTTGTTGGAAGTTGCTGCTTGGATTTCAGGAACATCGGTTGGCATGCAGGCTCCTGCAGGACCGTTTCATTCTGTAGTAATACTCCTCAGACACTAGAGGGCGCCACAGCATCGGTCATAAAATGGCTTCACTGTAAACAGATTTGAACAATAATATAAATACCGCTTTGTTCACTGAAACATTAAGTTTTCTACTTATGTTGCCTTTCCTTTCCAGAAATATTTAAAATAATCTCATTACTTATAAAACCAAACCATTAAAATATATTTTTTAAATATACAAGATTGAATTATTAATAAATGTTAACTTTATCCAACCTCTCACCATTATTCACACACCAGCGACTTTATTTGCTACAGTTGTTTAAATTGTTGTTAATAGAGGTGTAAGATAATGTGTATTTTATTGTTCTAATTTATTCTGTATATCAATCTGAAACAATGTAAATACCAGGACGGTGTCGCTGATTTTAACACAGATATATCAGCCTTCTGACCTTTAGGTGTTTGGTTCCTTTAAAGTTTATATTCTACAAAATACTTTAATAGCATATTTACACAATTAACAGAAACAATTGAAATGTGTGTGCATTTTTTCCTAAATAAAAAGATAAATAATTTGAGAGCAAATCAAAACAAAATCTTTTTTCAGTAAGAGTTGAGAAACTGCAGAACAAAAATTAAATAAAATTTAGATCTTGTCATGTTAGCATCGATCCGATATACCAACTTGGTATCAATATCATCCGTATTTAGCATCTATCACCACCTCTAGTTTCCAGCCAAATGCAAATGAAAGCATGGAGGTTCCTGGATGTGGTGAAGAAGATTAGCTGAAGTTCAAAACCTCAGAATGAGGAAGAAAGGAGACGTCTCAGACTTTGAATGTGCCATTGTTGTTGGAGTGAGACAGGCGGCCTGACGGCTGACCTGCTGCGATTTTTACAAACAACCTTTCCTCTGGCTTACAGAGAAATGCTCTATGAAGGAGAACGTCTCCAGTGAGGTTCTTTAGCTGGTTTATTTTAACACTTATTGAACTTTTTGATCAGGTTTTAATTGTAAATAATTACCGGTCAGTGTACGTCTACATATTGCAATAAAATAATGGAATATATTTTATTTTCCAAAGAATCAAATCAGAAGTTGGTTCAGAAACCAGATCTGGGCAGAGTTGAAGCACTACTTCAACATATTTTACTCAAGTAAAAGTAAAAAGTATCTGTCCAAGAAATTAAGAGCAAAAACACATTTCAATCTGGAAAGACTCAGACGAAGAAAAAGGAACAATTAAAAGATTTAATGACAGCAATGAATAACAGTTCTTTGGCGCGGGCCCGGCAGCTGATCTGAGCTGAGATTTGATGTGAACTCGATGAACATCCCGATAACCGATTAGGGATGCTCTCCCCCGGGGCCCGACGCTGGTGGAGGAGGTCTGGAAAGGGAGAGCCTGGAGAGCCGAAGGATGTGGGTGGAGAAGGGGCGGTGGTGGGCAGAACGCAGCTGGGAAGCGGCCGATGGCTTCGGTGTGGATCCTTTATGCAGAGCTTGACTGATGATTGGACACGCCGGGTGAGGTCCAGAGCTGAGGTCGGAGATGAGCATAACGCCGATGGGCGAACGGAGGGGATGGAGTCTTCCAGGTTGAATTTTCGCTATCAGCTACATTTGGTAAAAAGTACTCAAGTACTGATCAAATTATCAGTCATTTAATATTAAAAAATTACATCATTAGACGGACCGAAATATAAATTTAAGTGGAAATTTTCGTATTTTAAAGATGAAAATGACAATAATTCATGTAAGGAGCAAAAATAACAAATTTAAATTCAATAAAAAAAATCTGCAGTTTTTTTTAACAGAAACTGCAGGTCTATGTCTGGTGAATTTTTGGTTAAAACATGTTTGTTTTTCATTCAGTGGGTAGAAAATACAGAATTTTTACTCAAGTTAGAGTAGAAATACTTCATAATAAAATTACTGGAAGTACAGAGTTGTGAAAATACTCCTAAAAGTAATTTTTTCAAAGAAGTTACTAAGGTAAATGTAATCAGTTACGACCCAACTCAGTCAGAATCAAGCCACCTGTTGCTACAAGTAAAAATCACCAGGACGCCATCGGTGTTTGATAACAGTTTATTTTCAATATACATTTCATTTGAAAAATAGAAATTCTACAATAATCAATTTTTTCTTCTCTAGAAAGACTCATAAGTTAATTCAACAATAAAGTGTCAGTTTTCCTCTGCAGCTTTCTGACAGGCGGTGAACTAAACTCCACTGGAAAACCTGCAGAGCGTTGAGTTTCCTCTCATGGGGATAAAAACGAGGATTTGGAGAGTGAAAGACGTCGTGTGAATAAAGACAGAGAGGACTTTCTGTCTGAGATGAAACCCACAGAAAGAGAACGGTCTTCACTTTTGGACCATCGTGCTGTAGTTAAAGGATAACCCTGGTGTGGTTCACATTATTATTAATCCTCTGTCTCATTATGACTGTGCACTTCACAGCACAAAGTCTTTAAAAAAATCCCACATAAGCAAAAGAATGGATTTGTTTTGACTTGTATGTCATCACTTGGGTTCAAACTGCAAAGTTTACAGTTTTCTAAAACATTTTTCTGGGAAGTGTAACAAAAAAAAAAAAACATTTAAAATGGAAATACAACAAGTTGATCTACAGAACATTCATCCTTAAGCACAAACCAAAAGTAAAGGCTCCATTCTTTAACTGTGGACACTTTCCAATGCTTTTGTGGTTACACAAGAATAAAAAACAAAAGTGTTACATTTTATGTTTAGTGATGTCCAGGTCTGAGTGCAGCAATGAGGAAAAACACCAGAGTTTTCCTCATCAGGACACGATAAACTCAAAATGGAAAAGCTGGAGAACACAGTGAAGTATTGAAAATAGAGGGATCAGAGTGAGCATCTGTAAGAAAACAGGATCTTTGTGTGCTAATATAGAGACGTCAGCAATGATCCATCAAGTTTGGAAGAATTATGATGAAATTTTCCAACAATCTTCCAGTTGGAGAAAAGTATCTCTGTGACTTTTTTCACATTTGCGGTCACATTTAAACCAATTTCAGAGTCCAGAAGGATATTTAAAACCCTAGATAGAGGTGCTATTTATTACCATTCACACAAGTCAAACAATTGAAAAGTATTCATCAATAAAAAAAAATTGGAAATGGAAAAACGTGTAGAAACACTGTTTGCGTTTTCTGTCATAAATTAGCTGTTTGGTTTTATATGGAAGAAATATAATCTCATTTTTACACATTGAAATTATAACAATCTATTCTGTGCAATTATCAATTTAAAATTTTTACTTTAAATGCACAAGAAAAAAAATCACCTGCAAATGTTTCTTGGAAATGTAATTTTTCAAAAATGTTATTTTATTTTTGAAGGCAAATTTCTGCAGGTGAATTTTTTGCAGTGAATTTAAAGTGTAAAAACAAACAATGACATAATTGAACAAGTTAAAAAATCAGTGTCAAAAATTCAATTTGTAAAAAAAAAAATAATAATTCCAATCAGATTTTATTTCTTCCAAAATTTTTAAGGATACGTTTAAATTTAACTAAGCACTAAATGCAGGCTAGTAAATAATTTAGTTTATTAGTGATTTTCTTGTGTGTGGTTTGACCACCTAAAAATATCCTTTAATATATGTTAAAAAAGTGATTTAAACAACCCATAAATCAGATGACAGCTGATAAAATACACACATTCCTGCTGTGAACACAAGCCGTCATGAATATCATTTCCACATCATGTTTCCTGCATTTCTTCCAGTTCAAATCGATCCTTTTTAGGCCACTTAGGTACAGGATTTATGCAGCACAGTCATGTATTAATATAATATGATTCCCAGTTCGGGTTACTGTTTGGCTGAGAAAGGTTGGATGATTATGATGATCTTCTATCCACATCATAGAAAAATACACAGGAAATGTGACCGACATTTACACATGATCACTTTTTAAAAATCAACAGAAAACAAAAATATGTTAATAAAAAAAACAGTTTGGAAGAAAAGTGTAAAAGATTTGATTAGAAACAAACAGAAGCAATCAAATCAGCACACACAACTGTGCTCTGTTAATTTATAGTTAATTATATTAAATCTCTATTTCACTTCCTTTACAAGCTATAATACAGCACATTTCTTAAATTATTGCAACTCTAGGAAAGGACAGGGAGAAAATATCAAAACTCCAAGAATCATTTGTTCGTAATAAGATTTGAATCTAAAACAAGAGGTAGAGCTATAAAAACATAATTTTCCTGCTACAGGAAAATGTTAGAGTAGTTCAGTTTATATAAAAAAATCTGAAAGGTCATATTTGTATTTATACATAAATATGAGTATATAAAAAGAGATGGGACGGCACTCCATGTTTAGTGAGAGCGCTGCAGCATTTACTGTGGCAGCAGTTGCATAGATCAGCAGTAAGGAGTTAATTTAATCAACAAGTGAGACTGGAGGTGTGAGAGAAATGCCAACATGAAGGTGAAGACAGAAGTACTTAAAAATTATCCCTTTTTCAGTCCCAGAAATTCAAAACAAACCTCTTAAAATCATAAAAGAAGCGAAAAGTTAAGACTAATTTGACAGGAAGCTGCAGGTTGGTGGTCTACAGCGACGTTTCGGATCCCCGGCCCCTCCAGTAAAACGTGTCTTCGTCTTCCGGCTCCATGTCTATCCTGATCTGAGGCACTGACTTCAGCGGGGTCATCTCCGGGCTGAAACACAAACCCCAGCTGTCAGGACACAAACGACAAAAACTGAAACTGTCTGAATTTATCTGAAAAATGCTCTCCTAAAAGGGACCTGTAACGCAAAATTCACATTTTGAATGTTTTTACTTTTCCATTTTGGTCTAAAAAAACCCACCCAGACGTGTTTTGGTGTCTGGAAAATGAGACCTTCTGAATGTAACATCATCAGTAGCCAATGCGCCGTTACCTAGCAACCCCAGCAGAGTGCTGCCTGTTACCTAGCAACCCCAGGATAATTCTAGAACATTTGGTCAGCTGGTTTTAGCGAGGTACAATGGCAGCTGGAAAAGACGCGTTTTGGTGTTGACTCAAAATTCAGAAACCACATGCTGCATTCCGTTTGGTTGTGCAGGAGGATCTACTAATGCTTTTCAAAGATGTACGGTTGTATAATTCCACATCAGTTTGCAGCCAGTGAAAATGATGACTTGTGGAGACGTGGCCAGCAGCAGCTTATTTGGATGTAAGGTGACAAAATGCCCTAAAACGGCTCATTCTGAATAATAAAAAGAAAGAATAATCTGAATAATAAATAAGTCACATTTAATTCTAGGATTTCATTTAGTAAAACAGAAATAAACTGACCAGGTCTTCACCAGCTGCTAAAATTATTTAAATCTATCTATGAGTACAAAATACAAACAACAGATTCCATGCTGTCACTATTTGTTAGAGAAAACAGAAAAACTGTGAGAAAAACCAAGTACACCCCATGAACAGTAGAACTAGCTGTAGCAGCTTTGTTTTCTGTTTAATTTATTCACAACAAAGTTTCAGTGATTTATTCCAAACTTTGGCTACCAATGGCTGCAAAGTGAATCTGTTCACTACAGAGATGGACGGCTGGTTTGTTGTCATTTTTAGAAATATTGTGGTTTATTTATACGCAACTTTACAGAAATGTTTTTGCCATTTTCATTTTCTGATGGTTTTTCCATGAAATCCTTCGAATTAAGCCAAACATCCAGTCTTTTTCTGCCAGTGACAATTCTAACAAATATATGAAAACACTTTCATAAAAGTCACATACTCTAGCCTTAATCTAAACAAATAATTAATATTTAATCAACAATTCAGCATTTTTCAGGCACCAGACAAATCTTTGCCAAAAAGAGTCAATGATTACACCAACAGATAATTATCTACAGAACACAGCTTGTAAAAAAGTGAAGTTTGTTTCACGATCTTCATCCGCAACAGAAAACATATCAGAAGAATATTTCATATGAATATTTCAACTTCCTGTTTTATGCTGCTTCAAAAAAACAAACAAACACAAGAAAAGAAAGAGGTAAAACGAGGAAATGATTTAAAATCTAGAACCAGTAACGTTTTGGATGCCAGTCTTATTTTAGGATTTTCAACCCTGAACTGTAATCATATTTTTTCGGAGATATCTGTACCTCGGGTCGTCAGAGTTGGAAGCAATTTGGCTTCAGATTCGACCAACAGGATTATGTTTAAACAATCCCACATTCATACAAAGTTCAACATGACTGACATGACCAAACAAGGTCAAAGGTTTTGTTCTCTAATTTTCAGATATATGTGGATTTTGAATTTTAAAAAGTTGGATATAGGTCACATTTAAACAAAAAAAGTTAGATACGGGTCAACTGCATTTAGAAGAATCAGATGTAGGTTGCATTGACCAGAAAATGATACAGGACACATTTAAACAAAAAAAAAAAGTGCATATAGGCCACATTTTGATGAAGAAAAGTCAGATATGGATCACATCTGAACTGAAAACAGTCGGATACGGGTTAGTTAGATATAGATTGGATTTGGACAAAATATACATAAGTCCCATTTGAACAAAAAAGTTGGGTAGAGTTTATATATGTACAAAAAAAAGTCAGAAATTTTTGGGCTTTTCACATTTGTCCAAAAAAGTCGGGAATAGATTATATTTGAACATAAAAGTTAGATATTGATTGGATTTGGACAAAAAAAAAATCAAACATTGGTCGCATTTGGACAACAAAGTAAAAACCGGACTGGTTGTCATCCAGATGTCTCTGCAGGGGACTGACGCTCTGCAGGAGGTTTTCTGGAGAAGCTGCAGAAGTTCATTGCCGTCTACAGACAGAGTCCCAGGCATGGCGCCTGTTAGCCCTGGGTTAGCTAATCCGCCGATCTGACCTTTAAAGATCAGGCCAATAATTGTAGGTTAGCTGTCCCATGACCTTTTACCAGCATCACTTCCACCAAGTCTAAACAGGAGCCAGCTGCAGCTGAGTTTCATTTTGTTTTCCATCCTCACTCTTTTTCCCGTCTCACCTGGATAAGTAGCTGTCCTGGTAGAAGCGGAGCTGCTCAGCACGATGTGTGTCGATCAAGGAATGACAGGGGCTTCTCTCCTGAGGAAAAGAGAACAGCTGCTTTAATAAGGAATGCTTCAAAAATCAACTGTTCATTTACTCAGCTTGAAGGATTTTGCAGGTTTTCATTCCAGAACAAGCATGCAACAATTACAAACGCTTTCAGCCTGAGAGGAGAAAAGAGGCAAAATGTTAGCTGTTAGTTCTAAACCTGCTGATTCGTGGAAAACTCTGCAGTTTTAGAGAAAAGGTTGATTTATGATCAGAGTCGTCTAACAGCAGAGGCCATTAGAAGAACATTAGAGCCAGAAATTAAATTAGAAGATGGGGAAAAAAAGATTAAGACACCATAATCTGAAGCGGTGAGTAGATTTCATGCATTTTTCAGGGACAAGACTAATGCAGAAAATAAAAAAAGAAAAGAGTGAAAAACCCAACGTGTGTGTAAAGACGGGTCATCGTTATGAAGCAGAGACAGTCAGGAGGAAGATTTGTGTTTCCCTGCAGGCGGTGGCGGTTTACTCACTGTCAGAGGCCTTATCACCTAAGAAGGGCTCCTTCTCCATGATGTCCATGGGAATTTTAATATTGGGAACATTCTCATTGTAAGGATAGTCAGACTGTTGGAGAGAGGAAACACATCCTGAGACAGGAACTCGCTGGAAAGAGTTACCAGGAGCCGACATGGGCAGCTCATCCAGTCCGTTTGGCTCTTTCTTTAAAATGGAAGCGTTTGCAAATTGTTTCAGTCCTGCTGCTGATAAGAACTTGATGTGTTAAAAGATAAATTACATCCTCTTTGTAAAACCGATACCAAAGTACAGCTTCACAAGGTGCTCAACGTTCCTCATTTTAAGGATTTATTTTGTTGTGTGTAGCAGGTATCATAAAATTACTATTTTAAGTCATAAAATTATCTCTTTCTACTAATATTGTGACTTTAATCTTGTAATATGAGTTTATAATTTGACCATTTTGGGCTTTTTCTCATATTATCGTGACTTTATTCGCTTATTGTTACAAATTCTTTTCTTGTATTACGACTTTATCTTTGTAAAGTTAGAACTTTGTTCTGGTGGTTTAATGACTTAATTCTCATACAACACTTTTTTTTCTTTTGGAGCATTTTGACTTTTCTCTTTTAATTAATTTTCTTATTCTCTTAGCCCGGCCCTAATCTGCCGTCGCCAAACTCTCCGTCCTGCAAAGGGAGGAATCCAGAATCTGAGCTCCACAGAAACAGAGATGGTGAAAAAAAAACAAACTGCAGCTCAACTCTTACATCTTCACCATCACTGTCCACGCTGCCACATTTCTTCTTCTTCTCATCCTCCTTCTTCTTCTTGTCTTTCTCAGGAATGACGTCGTCCAGGAAGCTCAGGTCGCGCTGGGAGAACATGTAGTCCATGGCTTTCCTGACCGCAACCAGAGCGAGAATCTGGAAACGTCGGAAACACGGGTTACAGGACGGAAACGATCAGACTACTGAGATTAATCGTGATTAATCGATTACTGAAATAATCGTCAACTAATTCTGTAATCGATTAATTGGTAACTGGAGTATACAGACTCAAAAAAGGCCATTTTCTGACAAAATAACACACAGAGCAGTAAATAAGCTAAAAATGTACAAAATATATAAACATTTTGCATTTAAGATGAAAAACCTTCTTTATCTGTAAATGTGTTCTACCTACAACTCAAGTGGCATTTTTAGCTTCACCTGGTTCACATTCTGTTAAAAAAAAATCTCCTATTCAATTATTAATCGGTTCATTGGAAAAATAATCAGCACTGCTAAGTCAAGCAGAAAGGACTGAGCCATGTTGATGGTATTTTAGCTGTAGATGATCGAGCCTTCACTAAAAAAATGCTGTATTATTGCCTCTTAGGCAATGAAATGTTAATTTTCTTATCTAAAAAAGGAATTGAATTAATTGTCTATTTGCATCTTTTAATGTATTTAAGTGGTTAAATCAAAAATCAGCAGAATATGCCAGTTTTTAATCCGATTGTAGGTATAATTGATAGAATAATTGATTACTAAACAAATCATTAGTTGCATCCCTATCTGGGGCAGTTTTACTAAAGCATCCATTACCAAAATAACTAATTAAAACCCTAAATCATTACTAATCTGGTATTTCTGAGTCTTTTTTGATCCGTCTATAAAACGTTCTGTGGCTCGAGCGTGAGCAGGTTCTTCTTTACCATGACGGGGAAAATGATGGCCGCCACGGTGGACTTGAGGATCCAGAGCAGAGCCAAGCAGAGGATCTGGATGAAGGTGAAGAGGTGGACCTTCCTGAGGGGAACGTGCCTCAGGTACACCAGGTCCGGCTGATGCTTGGCCGGCATCAGCAGCAGCTTCAGCCGGTCCATAAACTAAGCAAGAGTCAAAACAAATACAGAGTTATCACACCAATCAGAAGATAAACTGGTGGATGATGAAACAACAGCTCCAGCTTTTATGGAATTGAAATGAAAGAAATTTACCTGAACGCCGTTAAGAGAAGCGACTCCCATGTACAAGAAGACTCCATACAGGACCGGCATGGGGATAAACTAGACGTGCAAAACATGCAGTAAAAATGGCTTTAAGGGGCAGAATTATGTGTTTTCCTGGCACCTAGAATCATTTTATAGCAAAAATATGTAACTATGATACTTGATATATAAACATTAAATATGAATAACTTGATAGCTTGAAATTCCTGTCTCTTTAAAAGCTCCAGCTCTTACTGAAGGCGGGGCTAGGTCCAACTAGGCGTTTTTGCCATCTGAGTGGTTGCCATGGAGATTAAAGGATTTCTCAAACACGCATGAATAAAATCAAAGCAACACTTCAGGTCTGTTTTTGATGAGGAAATAACATAAAATTTTAATGTAAAGCTGGAAAGAATCTGATTTTACATAAAACTGCCCCTTTAAGAGAAAATTCTACCAAAGTAAATGTTACCGCTGCAAAATGTTTAGTAAATTACCTTTAAAATTGGAGACATGAACACAGACAGTCCTGTCAGGATGAACACAAACACTCCGGTGACCCTCTGCTCTCTGCAAAACAGGACAGGAAGGGAACGTCGCAAAGCTGGAAGCTTTTCGTTTCCACCAAAACCTCAAAGACTGGACTCATTTTCCTCATGAACTGTAAGATTCTAGCAGTAACAGATACAGTTCAGAAACATTATATTAGGAAAAGCAAACATTGTAAAGTTCAAAACCGGTTTGGATGCTTCGGTGTGACGCCGTACAGCAGTTTATTAGCTCAGCTGCCACATCAGGGGGCGAGGAGGACGGCACACAGATACAAAAACAAAACAAACCATCCAAACACAGGAAGAAACGTGTTAGCTTAGCCACTGGTGAAGTCTGAAGACAAAACCACAGCAAAATAATGTTTTAAAAATCTAATTCATCCAAGGAAGGAAGAATCAAATTGTTCTTGTTCTAAGTGAAAAGGTGAAAGTCTGGTGTTTATGATCAACCAGGTTTCAAAATCCAACAATAATTTTCTCTAAGTGTGTCCATTTGGTTTGACCTGACCTTTCAAAACAGGTGAGACTGAGGAGACGAATTTCTCCTCAACACCCTGGGTGAATGATTGCTGTGACCCGGGCTTTAAATCACCGATGCAGGCTTTGAATTTAAAAAGTGAAGCAAGAGGGACAGCAAGCAGAACAAGAAGCTCAGGTCAGAAGAGACCCAACGTTTGTAAAATTATACACTCAAAAATTAACGGTAATAATTTGGGTTATTTAACTTGGCAGAAGAGAAAAAAATGGGGCTCATATTTTCACCATGTTATGTATTTATTTATGCCACAGTTTAAAGATAAATATTTAGCTTACAAACTAAATATTTAACTTGCTATCTATATCTTTAAAATGTTTATACCACTTAAAGTTATTTTTGTATTTACTAATATTTAACACTTTGAATGCAGTAGCTTGTGAACAAATAAGCAATTTCTGCTTGAATATCAGTACTAAATATTTAGCTGAGGGCTAAATACCTACCATGCTAACTTAACTTGTTACTAAATAGCTAGCTATGTTTTTGGCTTGCTAACTAAATTTTCAGCTTGAACTGGAGCAAAATATTAAGTATATAAGCTAAATATTTTGCTTGCTAATTGTATATTAAGTTTGAAATTGAAAATAATAATTAGTGAAAATTACTGTGTATCTTTACAAACGGCTGTACTTTTATTTTGACGGCTCCGTTGGTTCTTTACAAACGGCTGTACTTTTATTTTGGCGGCTCCGTTGGTTCTTTACAAACGGCTCTTTTATTTTGGCGGCTCCGTTGGTTCTCACCTCACTCCCAGGAACTTGGGCTGCTCTCCCGGCGCCGACGTTTCCGTTTCCATCTTCAGACTGTCGATGTGGGCGATGGAGATGACGGTGGCGGCCACATACCACGGCAGGCCCATGAAGGAGCAAACCACCATCAGAATCGCCACCCAGAATAGGTCCAGATGGTAACCTGCCCCTTTCTGTTCCAGACAACAAACAGGGTCAAAGGTCGGGAGCATGCTCGGACATGGACAGTGCAGCTGCAGACGGACACGGACCTAAATCCAAAGGCTAAAGGCCTTCTGATCCATTCAGCAACAGAAAATTATCTGTGGCCTGAATAATTTCGGACTTTTAAAGATTTTGAAACTGTACTTATTCAGTTGGCAGATTAATTCATTTATAACAAGACATTTTCCCATGTTATAAGTGAAAATATCTGCCAATGAATTTTTTAAAATCAATATTAAGGAATTATTGGCTTTAAAAAAAAGCACTTTTCTCACTGAAATGTTACTTGTAAGTTAATTTTGTCTTATTTCAAATGTACTAAGATATTTGCACTAGGTTTTGTGTTTTTGCAGTGAAAACTAATGAAACAGGGCTGCACAAAAATGCTGGTACTTCTAGAAAAGACTAAATAATTTTGTCCACGTGTTTGTACCCATAAACATTAAATCCAGATATAAAACAGAAATAAATAATGACTCAGCTTCTATTTAAAACCTGCCAGCGGTTACATTTCGACCTGAAAAAGGTGCAGTCACTCATATGAAACATCTCTCACTTCCCTGAGAATGATTTTCACCCACAGGGTGAATTTAGCCTGGATTTGCTTGTGATTGGAAATAATCTTAGCAGAAGCTTGACACTTTCTGTAAGGACGGTTTGTGGCGTCACCTTTAGCTTGTGCTCCTTCCTGTTGACGATCACAGCGGTGATCTGTTGGTCCATGAAGATCAGGATGGTGACGAGGAGAGCAGGCAGGGCGGCGGCCAGGTAAACCCACCAGGGGTTTCCTCCAAACGGGGGCACAAACCAGCCCCGCTTCGGGCTTGTTGGCTGCAGGGAGAGAGAAAAATAAAAGGATCCACCATGTTGTTTTACAAATATGACATCTGACTCTTATAAATTTAACATCTTGTCTTTCCTTTGTTGACCTTAAAGGGATCCACGATTAGTTGTAACAATAGACTTTATTTTAGATATAAAAACAATACAGTATGTCGTCATTTTGTTCACGCTGCAATGCATTCTGGGTAAATGACGTCTACTTGGTCCAAGAGAGTCGTCTTCAGCTTTGCTCTTACAAATGACAAAGTCTTCTGGAAAGAAATGTTGAGAGCACAAATGTAGATCCTTCGGAAGTTGTGTTCGGCTATGGATTTTTCCCACTTCTGTTTTTGTCATGCGGGAAGCGATCCAGATTCGCCTCACATTACAGCTGACAGTGACACCGTGTGGCATTTTCTAAAATTACTCCAGCCAAACGCAATATGATCAACAACTACTGGGGTAAAGTTAACCTTCCTGTGTTTACTCTGTAGACTCCGGTACAGAATGGACCTGATGACGTCATCAACCCACCGGTGAAAAAATGGCGACCTCCATGGGTGAAAAATATTACAAAAGATGTCAATTTTTTTAAGTAATTATGAGTTTTCACGTATCACAAATTCTTTTAATAGGAAAATTACAACATATTTAGGCCAACATGTTCATCTAATCGTGGATCATTTTAAATAATAATAAATATTAGAAAATAAGCAGGAGCTCACCTTAAATTCAGTTGGCACAATAAGTTTAGGAGTGTCAACTCCCACAAACATATCAACTCCACAAAAGATAAGGATGGCCAGGATGATGGCGAAGTCACTGATGAGTTTCCTCACCTGGTTGGGAGGAAAACATGCTCTATTAAAGGGACGGTGCTGTGTTTTCCAGCCACCTGGTGCCATTTCATAGTAAAATCAAGTAACTATGTTAACTTTAGTTGTGATAAATATTTTATATATATCAAATATGACTTAAAAGAAATTTGACTTTCCAGTTTAACACCTTGAAATTGGGCCTCTGTCTCTTTAAAAACTCCTGTTTTGTATATTTTTTCATTCCTTTTTCTTTGTTTTTAATTTTTAGTTGTGCCACACTAATCTTCTCCACTGGCCTCGTCTGGCAACGCATGTGGGAACACGGACTTGTCCACCCTGTTTTGTTTTTGTTTCTTGCTATATTAAAGGTGTTCTTAGTATGATGCAAATCCAATTGTGGCAGTACTCACAGTGGTGGGGAAGAAGGGGCTTGTTTTGAACTTCTTAAGACACATGGAGGTGGTGTAGGTACCGAAGAAGAGGATGAAGGACATGAGGGTGATGTCTGGGACGTAGCCGCACGCCTCTCCCACCAGCTCTCCTTTGTACATTAAACACTCTGACTTGGTGAGACTCGACCACGTGCGGTTTGGTGGCTGAACACAACAAATAAGACACTGTAATTACGCCACACACACTCAAACACCAGGCTTAATTTTCACCTAATTATAAGAATTAAACACTGGATAAAGTCCATCAGTCTGAACAGTGCTTCTGTTCAGACATTATCTACTCATTTCATTTAAAGTTTAACTTTTTTCCTAGAATGTGGATTTAAATGCAAGAAACCCACCAGGCCTGTGTAGTTCATGTACCACGATGATGTGTCTTCCAAAGGATCGTCAAGCAGCTCCGTCTCATTTTCTGCCAAACACACGACAAAAAGTTGATTTTATGTCTATAAAACTTTTAAATAGCAACTAATCTGTGTTTTACTTTCCTAATCTACTCACAGGTTTAGGCACCTGGAAAGAAGCGATGGGTATTTATCATATTGTTCACTATTTATTATTAAAAAACATTCTTATCATAAGAGTTTTGATAAATCATCTTGATAAAATTTTTATTAATGATGTTTAAAATAAAAAGAACAACAAATGGCACACAAAACTGTTTGCTGTATAAATGTAACAATTGATTGGCACCATATTCTGTTTGATTTTGTAAATTTGTGGTGGCTGGCTGATGACCTTTGGAAATATTTATCAATATTTTAAAAATATTAATAAATATTTTAACGCAAAATTTTATTTAAATCATTATTATTATAATTTGTTAATAGAATTCATAAAATAATTATGTTATTTTAATATTAATATAAAATATACTATTTTATGTTAACTTCTATTAACATAAAATATGTATATAAAATTATACAAGATGTTTAAAGTCTTAAATGTTTGTACAACACCAATTGACACCAAGTTTGTTTACCGTATTTTCCGCACTATAAGGCGCACCTAAAAACTTTAAATTTCCCCAAAAGCCGACAGTGCGCCTTATATATGGACCAATATTGAGCCACAACAGGTCCAGCAACTACGGTAAGCAGCCGCCGACTTCATTTTCGCCCATAGAAGAAGAAACGCGCGGTGCATGCTGGGATAGTTGTCAGAATGCTGGTTTGTTAATAAAGTTTGACTGACCTATCTACCTACCGATCGTCTATAATCAGGTCATCTGCAGGTCATTTAGCACCACGTTCTCCACAAACATGCTGTGCGCGAACGGAGAAGGGTGACCATCGTCCGGCCACGCTCCGGCCCAATCGCAGGAGGCTCTCTTAACCGACCGGAGTCGGACTGTTTTGTTGATATTCCCTGTAGTGCAGCTCCATCTAGTGGATGCATGACGTAACTCCAGCCTCTACTGTAGCGTTTATTCTATGCGCCTTATAATGCGGTGCGCCTTATATATGAAAAAAGTTTTAAAATAGGCCTTTCATTGAAGGTGCGCCTTATAATCCGGTGCGTCTTGTCGTGCGGAAAATACGGTAATTTGAAGACAGTGGTGGGGCCAAATTTACTGACATTTAAAAAAAAAAGTAAAGCACCAAAAAGGCCCAAAATCTGTATTTTTATTTCCTGTGAGTGAAATTCTTCTGATGCAAAGTCTTAAGATGAAACGGACGGCTCACCTAAGAGCGTGGGGCCCATGCAGAGACATTCGTACTGCGTGATGTTTTCCATGTTGTACACCGAGTTGATGGGGTAGTGGTGAGCTAATTTGATCATCTTCTTGAAGGCATCGTAGATGAAGATGAAGCTGATGAGACAAGAGAAGCCCTCCTCCGTGAAGCGGGTGAAGTACTTCACCAGGAAGCTGGCGTCAGTGGCAACGAGCACCAGGCAGAAGAACGCCGACCACAGGCCGATCCACAGCCGGAACTCCATGTAGTCGAAATTGTTATCCCTACGTAGAAAAAGGACACAAAACACCGTCAAAACCAGAGAAGTTCATGACATGGAGATCCCGCTCCCATTTCCCCAGCAAAAAGCTCCTCGCTAACGATGACTAGCATTGGTCTTAGCTGCTAAGTTGGCTATATAATGCACTAAATCTTAAATGTCCGCATGATATATAAAACAAAAAGGGACGCAGTGCTTTGGTACTAACTGCCAACACTACAACTAGATAACAAGGTCAGAAAAAGTTTTAATTTAAAAAAAATATCGAGGGAAAGGAAAGTAGGTTAGCTATGCTAGCTTGACTTTGACAATCTTAACGTGCTGTGGAATTCTGTGCATTTTGGTTCAGTTACAAAATTTTAAAAAAGATGACCTAAACAACAACTCTGACAGATCATCAGCTAATCAGCCACTGCAGTGGTAGATTAGCTGATAGCAGCGGTAGCTAATCAGTCAATGCAGTGTTACATTAGCTGATAGCAGCGGTAGCTAATCAGTCACTGCAGTGGTAGATTAGCTGATAGCTAATCTATAACAAGGTCAGAAAAAGTTTTAATTTAAAAAAATATCGAGGGAAAGGAATTGGTAGATTAGTTTACACTAATCTGTGGTAGATTACAGCTAATCTACCACAGCGATGACTAATTAATGATCACAAAATAAACATGAATGTTCTGTTCTTTGTGTGGGAAATGTTTGAGTGTTTTTTGGGTTGAATCCTGATACACAGAGTGGAGTTGTTATCAGTTGCTATGGCAACGTGTCTTTGTGTATCATAGCAATATTTCTTCCATATTGGAACATTTTTATTTAATAAATGTAATTAGTACTAAATCATGAAGGTAAAAAAGTGCAAAAATTACCTTTTGACCCAAAATGGCTGACTTCCTGTTTGGTTTAGAAAATGCCTCCAAGACACTTTTTCTTATTGTTTCACAGGGTTCTATGTACGTCCCAAATTTCAGCTCCGTACTATTTACCAGTTGGCCTCTCTCACTTTAGGGGGCGCTGTAGAGCTGTTTGGTCACAGCCATTTTTAATTCAATCAAAACTGCTAAAATTTAAACCAGGGGACAATTAAAGGTAAAGTTTGGTGAGTTTTCGTTTATGTTTAGGCCTCTAAGTTGAAGTTTCTTTCCAACAAGATGAAGGTAAATTTGATTTACTTTGTGTAATTTCAAGACAGTAAACTACAAAACTTTCTTAGCAAGGCTAACAGTTAACATCTTTTTCATATTTATTAAAACTCTAATTTAGAGTTATACTGAGAAGATGCCAAACTTACCTGCTGAAGTTAAAGAGAAGCCTTTCAAACACCAGAACCGGACCGGTGCTGCTCAGAATAATGAGAGGCTGACCCCCCAACAAGCAGAAAACACCTCCGGTGATGGCAGTGCCCAGAAAACTCTCCAGCACACCCTGCAAACATGGAGAGGGAGGGTTAAAAACAGGAAATCCGACAGTTTGGCTGACACACTTTGGTTAAAAACCCGCTCTGACCTGCATGTTTTCTGTAGCGTCCCCCAGCAGACCACCGAAGGTGATGGCATTCGTCACAGTTCCCAAGTAAATAAACAAAATGGTCGACAGGACCTGAATGTGAAGCGCGTCGGTGAAGTCACTGATAAAGAAAGGCGCCTTTCTCTTGATGTCAAGAAGGAGACCACCACAAAACCTGACGGCAAAACAACTGACTTAATAACGGGATGAGATTCTTAATTACACTGAAAAAACACAAAATCTTACCAAGTATTTTAGTCTAGTTTCTGCTGCAAATATCTTACTACATTTAAAATAAGAAAACTAATTTACTAGTAACTAGTAACACATAGAAACCTGTTTTAAGCCAATAAAGCCTTAATATTGATGAAAAAGTACAAATGACTTCACTAAAAACATGGGGAAATGTCTAATTCACTTATAACAAGACATTTTTCTCATAAGTAAAATAATCTGCCATTGAAACAAAAACCTTTTCTTGATTGTTAGGAATTACTGACTTAAAACAAGCTGCTATATTTTGCTGAAAAGTTTCTTATAAGTTAGTTTAGTCTTATTTCGAGTTTACTAAGATATTTGCAGTAGAAACTAAAACACTCGGTAAGATTTTGTGTTTTTGCAGTGTACAATCCAATAAATAAAACGTCATCCATATAGAACAGTTTATTTTATACCTTCCTGTCTTCTTCAGCTCCTCCCCTGTAGCGTGCCCGCCTCCATCTCCATGACCGCCACCATGCGGCATGTCTCCGTTCATCTGAGAATCCCCTCCTGCGTACATGTTTTTCCTGAAACGGAAATAAGTTTCTTCAGTTGCTGCTGTGACATCTGATCAACACAAAGCCGCCTGGAATTATTTATTTGATTTAGGTCAACGTTTGGCCCACTGAAGCTGCTCACACAACCTGATTTAACTGCTACCTTTCCCGTCATGATGTCACCTACTTGGTTCCTGTTTCCAGTCGGATGATGCTGATCCATTAGGTGATTAAATAGCCTGATAGATCAGTGCTGACTGCAGGTTTATATAATACGAACTGTGGCAGTTTCATAATTAAACACTGTGTTGTGCAGCTGGATGCGTTTGGGTGATTCTGCAGTCTGTCATGCTCACACAGCATTCTGAGGATGTGCTATGCTTCCTTGAGCAGGTTAGCATAGGTCTATGGTCTTCACAACATGTTCATTACATTTTTTGCACAAAATCATTCTTATATATTGAGATTTCAGCCTGATTTAATTGTGACTTTAAAGCCAAATAAGCTGGTGCTAGCCATGCCCCCTGCTCAAAGTTTACATATGAGAATAAGAATGCAAGCGAATGCAGGTTTGTACTCCCGTACATCTCTGAATGTCAGAAGTGGAGCCTCCTGCACAACCAACAAGAATGCAACAAGTGGTTTCTGGATGGTATGTCTTTTCCAGCAGCCATTGTACAGCGGTATAATTAGCTGACCTATCATGCTGGAGCTCGGCTTGGGTTGCTAGGTAACAGGGCTGGGCTTCCCTGGGGTTGCTAGGTGACGGGCAGTGTCTGCTGATTTGTGATGTAACACTCCGAAGGTTTTTGAGAAGGCTCATTTTCCAGACACCAAAAAACATAAACGTATTGCCAACAAAAGGCTGGGTGTTATTTAAAACAAAAAGAAAAACTAAGCATTTGATATCCATATGGAAGAATGAAAACATCCAATATATGAATTTTAGGTAAAAGATCCACTTTGAAAAGGGCTTATTATGTATTTTCCAATAAGTGTGTTACCTACATTTGCTATGAAAATGCAATTTAATATAATATGGTAATATGGTTCTATTGCCTTATGCAGAAATAAAACACTTTGTAAAGACAAAATAAAGGATGCAAAGAGGGATTAAAAGTAAAAAAAAAGCTTGATTAATATTTAAAATGTCGTTTTAATGTCTCATTTCTCATTCTGATTGCAGTAAATCACAAGTATTCTTTACACACCTATAGATTAAAGCAGAAATTATTACGAATAATCACTCTAAATCAAACCGTGAGAATAGTAAAAGATTCTCACCACTAATAAATTCCCTTGCTAGGCATTCTAAATGAAACATAAATCTGTTTGTTTATAAAATGATATTATATGCAACATAAGCTGGGTACCAAAAATACTCTAAAGATTTTGTGATTTCCTGCATTTTTGACCTTTTGTCAGAGGACGGCAGCGATTTGGGAGGCTCTATCCTGATGGTCGGGTCCCACTCTCCAGGAGGAAGAACGATCACCTCGTCCAGGAACTCATCGATCCCGGCCAGCAGGTCCTGCCTGTCCTTCGCCTTGTAGGCAATGTCATGAAAGACCTGCGAACAAACACACAGACGTATTGGAGCGGAAAACGTGTGACAGGAAAGCATGTGGCTCCAGTGAACTGTGATAGCAGATCTGAGGATTACTAAATAGGGAAAGAGAGCAGCGACTTGCAAACACTAAATAAACAACTAATCCCATCTAATCAACCCAAAAACTGTGGAGAGCAACGCCGTTTTATCACTTTAATCAACTCAAATGCTTTCCTCAGGGGTCTTTGAGTTTATTTTATTTGTTTGCCTTGCAATTAATGCAGTAAACAGCATTTGGCAAATAGCTAAGGCCAATTATTTCTAATTAAAAGCCTAAATATTTTCTGTTTTCAGAAGAAAGGAATAAAAGTGCAGACCTATCGGAGTTTTTTCAAAGTTTACAAGAAATGTATTGCTTCAAAGGGACAGTTTGGCTTTTTTCAAAGGGGGTTCTGCGAGTTAGTCAGCAGTTGTCAGTATCTTACCTGTAGTAAAAATCAAGTTTGTGAAAGAAGAAGGCAACTACTAATCAGAGTGAATTTCAAGCAACAATGCACATCTTTGAGCTGCGATCTCCCAGATCATTTGATACTTTTGTACCACATAAGAAGTATAACTGAAGTATAATTTCAGTGGATTTATGAGCCAGTCTAACCTCATCAGACATCAGGGTGGCGATTGCTCTGCCAATCTCATGATATGACTTTGCTTTGCCTTTGGGTCCAAGCAGGATGAACAAAAACCTACAAAGAGAAGCAAAGCAGAGAATTAATCAGGGGTGTCCAAAGTGTGGCGCGGGGGCCGTCTGCGGCTCTGAGAATGATTCTGTGCGGCCCTTGTCCACGATTAAAGTCTAGCACAGATTTATTTTTACCAGACTGTTGGGGGTAATATCCATAAAACAAATTAATAAAATATTTACTGATTAAAAAAATGATGTAGTCATCTTAAAATGGAAAACTTGAGCAACAACACAAATTATTCATCTCTTATTAACCACATTTTTTGCGTTCATTTTACTTTGATACTGCATAGCATCACAAACATCCAGTAACTTTTACTCAAAAGTAGAACTGGGGTGAACCCATTAATTAAATGAGGCTAAAAAGGACTTAAATTAAAAAACTATATATAATTAAAAGAAACTTGGATCATGTTCTCATAATCCATCGAAAATGATTTACAGATCCAAGTGTTTTTCATTTCAATATTTTGTGTTTGTTTTGATAACAGAATTATTTTTGCACTTTTTTCTCATTGAATTCTGACATTAATCTGAGAGTTTTAACCTTTTTTTTCTCTGAATTTTGACTTTTTCCTTCAAAATTCTGACTTTAATCTTCTGGGATCATAAATCAGATTTAGTCAGAATACTTTTTTCCCCTCAGTGGAAAAAAATAGTTTTTTTCCCTAAAAAAGTCCAAAACTGTTGCAAAACGTTTTGGACACCCGTGCACTAAATCAATGAAGGAGAAAACATTTTATAATTAAAAGCTTCTGTCTGGTTTCTGATTGCTTGACTGAAATTAAAACTGAAATGTAGAATTAATGTGAAAATAAAGTTATAATTATATTTCAGAGTTAATTGTTGCATGTCGGCTACCTTGTGGGAACGGGAACTTCGGTCAACGCTCCCAGCATCACGGCTTGCTGCAGACGAACAAACGCCACAAACGGGGCGTCCAGGAAGTCCACCTCCCCCACCAGGACGTTGGAGGCCTCCGCGTCTCTCGGCAGCTTCTTCATGAACTTGTTTTTCAGCTGGAGCAACAAAGAAAATGAGTTTGCTTTAAATGAAACGATGTAAATCAAATAAGATGGATTCTTTGAGTGTAAATGTCGTAAACAAAAGGTTCACTTGCCGAGCTCTGAAGGTTTGGCATTTATGGAAATATTTAAGTCTTTCCGCTGTGTACTTAATAACATCTATTAAATGTTACATTTTCTATTATTATTTCCTAAATTTAAAGAGCTTACCCCCCTTCCATCATCACAATTAAAGAAAGTAAATTATTTCTGGTCAAGTTGTCAGTAATAAAAAAATCTTATCAGGAAATATAAAGTTCACTTCACTTGAATAACT